TCAATAAATGTATTTTTACATAAAATTTGCTATAACACTTACTCTCTCCCGGTCCTGAACCTCCAGTAATCTCCTGCACAGCAACATTCACACTGGGAGAGACAGAAGGTCAGCACTATGAGCCAGTCAGCCCTGTGCTGCTTGCACACTGCATTTTAACATGCTTTTAGAAGAGTGCAGAGTGCTGACTTTATTAGTGTGCTGCATCTCCTTCATTGTCTAAACAGTCTATGGCAGACTGGTGACCAAGTTTAAAAGTGCCACATACCACAGGTCTGCATTGGAGATAAAATCTTTATTTAAGGAGCAAAAGTACACCTTCCATTCCTCCCCTTATTTCTGCAAACCCTAACACGTTTCACCATTATGGCATACTCACACATATCTCATTGAGTAAGCCATATTGGTAAAACACACTATAGGTTGAGGACATATGGGGAGGAATGAAAGGTGTGCTTCTGCTCCTTAAATAAATATTTTATCTCCAATGACGACATGGGGAGGGGGGCACTTTTTGAATTGTGTTCACTTCCTGCTTGCACCTGAGCTGGAGTCGTCACTGAGGGCCGTTTTGGGAATGTGAGCTGTGTTTCGTGTGGTTTATAAGGTTGTTGACCAAGTTGTATTGCTTAACATCAGTATTTTAGCTATGTATTAGTTGTTTTTTGGGATTGAGATTCAAACCCTTTGCGCTAGCTCCCACCAATCCTTTAAGGGGTTCTGAATGACAGAAGCAGTGTTGCTATAATTGGCTGTCACAGCAATCACATGATCAAAGCCCATCCCACCAGCTCCCAAATATAAATGATGACAGGGAGCTGTTGGTGACAGCTTAGTCACTGTGCACTCTCAGCACAGAACAATGGGCCAGCTGGGTGCATATAGTACAGACAGACTTCTCTAAAGCCCACCCGTTCTGCTGATGTATATGTATGTTACACCAGCAGGAGGTGGGTAATGTATATTTAGGGTAAAACATGTTTGGGTTTTTTACTTTTTGTATAGCGTAGGGAAAGGTTAAAATTAGGTCAGGTTTTTTCCCCAGTTTGTATCCTGGGGGTGACTTCCCTGCACATCCTGTCTTGTTGATACAAGAGGAGCTAGAAGAAAATATCTGCGAAGTGAGGGAATCCACTCTTAGACGGATGCTACCTGGAACAAGTGTCTAGATTTGAATATTTCTGATTTATCCCTGTTTAGGTGACAACTCAAAATATGCAATGTTCTTTCACTTTCAGTTTAAGTAACTGTGGTCACCAGACTAAATAGAAGGAGTAAACCTTCCTAAAGGGGACACAGAAATAAATAAAACCTGACACCTCAACCACAGTAATAAAAAGTTGGTTTTAAATATACTTTAATCAAAAATCTGCCAGGAAATCCTTTTTTTAATAATATATTTACTTATCCTTACTTATAATATTTCTTTATCATGATTGCTTACAGGTGAAACTCGAATAATTAGAATATCGTGCAAAAGTAATTGCAGTAAGTGCGGCAAAAGGGGCCCAAACCAAGTACTGAGTACATATGCATGCTTGTACTTTTCAGAGGTCCGATATTGTTCTATGTACAATCCTTGTTTTATTGATTGCATGTAATAATCTACTTTTTTGAGGTTGTGGATTTGGGGTTCTTGGGGTTTTCATGAGCTGTAAGCCATAATCATCACAATTATGACAAATCATGGCTTGAATTATCTTGCTTTGCATGTAATGAGTCTATCTCATATATTAGTTTCACCTTTTAAGTTGCATTAGTGAAATAAATGAACTTTACACAATATTCTAATTATTCGAGTTTCACCTGTATGTGGCAGATCTGCTGAGCCAGTATAAATGCCTGACAACAGTGAAAATGGACCCTTCCATTTTTGAATTCTCTATTAGGACTATAAAAGAAAATTGCTTATTGATTAATTTGGTGTATGTGATGTGTTCCATTTGTGAGATTTTTTTTGTCAATATTATTCCTGTATATTATACATCAGACTTATGGTTCAAGCATTGTATTTTCTTTTTGAAATGTGAATATTTGTTGACATTCCCAGGTGCCACATATGTGGCACATTATCAGTAGCAAGGTCTGTGGAGAGTTGAAAGAAACCATATTCTCTTGTTAAAGGCTTCTCTTGTTAAGAGGCAGTTAAAACATTACAGTACAGATTGCAATTTTTGGAATTTGAAGTCTTTTGATTTGTTTAAGAAAGGGAAGTAAAGCTAACCAATTAACCCCTGACAGGAGGTTCATTAAAGGTTTGTAATCCTTTGCCAAGTCTTTTGTGTAACTAAACTAGACTAGTGCTGAGGATTTGCAAAGCTTAGTCCCTTCACTGGAGGAGGCCTCGACTTCCAACATTTGTGCAGTTTTCACTAGACTTATATTACCAGAAACAGACTGTGCTAACATAGACCGACATAAGTAATCATTGGATCCGCGCTCTTTGCGCGACAACAATAGCGAGTAATAACGATGGCTGTCTGGGCTCCTGATTTCTTTAGTGAATGGATTAGACTTGTCTCTTGTGCCATTCATATGGATTATAGTATGGTGTAAATATTCAAGGGCTATCTATATTATGTAGCCGCCTGAGGATAAAGGCAGGAGGAAGTGTATATTGGTTCTCTGTCACCTTATATACCTTTCGTTTAACAGCTCACAGCTTCTTCGTCCTAGTTATTCTTAGTTGTAGTGAATATTCCATACACATTGTATACACTATGGCTGCACTCTCTGTGTTTTAAATTCTTAGAGAGTTCTGACTTTGTGTGCAGAAATATTTCGCATATAAGTAAAAAATACATAAACTGACATGGACATTATATTTGTGAGTGGTATTGTTATATCTAATTTGATATACACTATACACCTTTTTTAGTGGGCTAGAAATCTATCTATCTATCTGTATCTATCCATATCTATCTATCTATTCTCTCTCTCTCTCTCTCTCTCTCTCTCTCTATCTATCTATCACTATCTACTCATATCAATTTATCTATCTATCTCTATGCACTCATAGCTATCTATCAGTCTATCTATCTATCTATCTATCTATCTATCTATCTATCTATCTATCCCTATCCATTCATATCTAACTATCTATCTCTATCCACTCATATCTATCTATCTATTTATCTATCTATCTATCTATCTATCTATCTATCTATCTATCTATCTGTCCATATGTATCTAATCTATACAAGCTATCTGGACATTCTTTACTCTTATGGAGAGAATATCAGAATCCATTTCATGTGGTTTGGGGTACCGGAAACAAAGTTGTCGCAGGTGATTAAGTGAAGTGGACCTGTTTTGACTTCAAACTTCCAATTCTATTTTTAAAAAAGTTCTGTTTTTTAATTCTAAAGTGCATTATTGGATATTTACGTGAACGCAGATTCACTTACCTTTTCTTGTAATATAAACCTGTAGTAAACATTTTTGTTAAAGCAAAATATATGTCTTTAGATTGCCAACCAGCGGGTGCAAAATTGTCTTTACAGCCATCATCATCAAAGCTTACCTGGAACTCCCCAATTACTGTAAGGCAAATGCAGTGTCATATGATGGGGGCTTTTCTCAGCCTATGCAAATATTAACTTTTAGAAAGTCAATATTTGGATAAGATCTTCAGAGGGCTCCAGTGGTGCTTTGAAAATGATTGCTGTAATGCTGCTGATAGGGTCTGGCACCGTTTGGTTAAAAACTCTTTGGGTAGTACACATGTGCTATGCAGGTAATGCAGATACAAAACTTTTTTTTTTTTTTTTTTTTAGTTTTCACTGAAAGTAGGTTAAAGTTAGCCATACACATAGCATCCCTCAATCAGCTAATCAAAGGAGCAGGATGAAAAATTCTCGGCCGAACAGAGCTGGCAGCAAATCAGCTGCTAGATCTGCCATCGGCCGCTGTCAGAATACAATGCAAACAGCAGGGGATTTGTCCATCAGTGCTTGTAAGCATTGATGAATGAATCTGTTCTATTTTTTTTCGTCCAGCCTGCGGGTTGAAGGAAAAAAATATACAGGTGTATTATCAGCTTAAGAGAGCTCACTAAATCAGTTGAATGGAGGATCTGTGGTTTGCAGTTTTATTTAATTTGATCATTTTAGTCGCTTAGTATGATCAATTGTATAATTATATCAATAGAATCGAGAATATATGGTTTGCAAATGTATCCAATTTGATTATGTTAGTAGCAATAAATGATCGGTTGTTTGATTATATAGATATATGTGTTAACACCTTAAGACCCCCTGTCAGATTTCTCTTCACTTCCTGTCCCAGAGACACAGCTGGAAGTAAGAGGTATTTCTCCAAAGCATGGGGATATCCCCTCTTAAATGTCACTAGGACAGGTTCATCTTTGAAAGATACCCTCTCACCTCCTGTTCCATTGACAGTAAAACATGTTGTCTTTCCCATCACTTTCTTTGCTGGTGACAATTTTAAAGATATGGGCAAAGGTCCACTTTAATGGAAACCAGCCAGAAATGACCCTTGCACATTCTATCCAAAACTAAAAAAAAATGTTTTGGCTTTACTTACACTTTAGGTAAAGTACATCCTTTGTCTTTGCACTTGTTGGTAAGATCAGTTCTCTTATTTCAGTTTTCAGCAAGCTAAAAAAACTGTACAGCAAAATTGTCAGATTCTGCCAAGTCATGTATGCAATATGATTGCAGAAATAATAAAAATATACTGTATAATAAAAATGAAAATAATCACAATATGTGAAGTAACATTTTGCTGCTCAGCATTTAAGTATGGCATAGTGACGTATTACGCAATCTTTTTTGTAGTACAGTAATAAACATAGTTTCTCCCTTTTATTTGTCAAAATATATTGTCTTTTCCGTTGTGATGCTCTGTCTTGTAATGTGACTCAGACAGACAAGTTTACTGCACAGTCTCATCAGCTTCGACTGTGCACTGTATGCTGCTTCTTGTGTCGGTAGGTGAACCAACCAAGTCACTCATTTCCTTCTCTTGTCCTCCAGGCCTGATGGTATAGGAACGGTTACAGTTGAAGAAAAGGAGCGATTTGAAGAGATCAAAGAAAGGCTTCGCTTGCTGCTGGAAAATCAAATCACACATTTTAGGTAAAGCATCTCTAAAAAAGTAAAACATTAAAATCTAAATTAAATAGCTCACTCCCTCCCTGGGAATATGATTTACACAGAGGAAAATTGTATATTGTTATATTCATAGGTATTGTTTTCCATTTGGCCGACCAGAGGGAGCATTAAAAGCAACTTTATCCTTGTTGGAGAGGGTAAGTAGTCATTTGTCCTTACAGAAGTGTAATACTCTTGCGTCAAATAAACTTGTTGTGGTCATGCCCTTTGATCAGCTACTCTGAAGACCATGAAAGTGTTTGGAGCACATGGTAATTGTTTATTCAAAGAGAAAAATAAAGAAGGATAATACTTGGTTGTGCTAAAGCAGCTTCTGTTGTTCCTAACTATAGTGACTTCCAATCTAAAAGAAAAAGAGAATTCTTTATGCGCCTAAAAATATTAGAAGTTTGTCCTTTTGCCTTTGAAAAGTCCTGTACGTTTCACCTCCTATTCTACTGATCTCCCGTTATAAAGGTTTTAATGAAAGATATAGTTACTCCAGTTCCTCAAGAGGATGTGAAAAATGTTATCCGGAAATGCCTGGAGCAAGCTGCTTTAGTCAACTACACAAGACTATCCGAATATGCCAAAATTGAAGGTAAGAAACTCATTTTATAACTTTGCCGGATCTTCACTGGTTTCACTTGGTCCATTGATTGATCCAAATGTTTATTTAAATGCACAGAAATATCACTGGTTGATTTTGTGCAAGATCTGTCTAATGCATTGTTAAAAAGTGTTAGCAATTGAAACAATGTACTTTGGTTTTAACATTTGTCTATGTTTTATCTTGAAATAGTGATTGCCAATGTGCATTTTAGTACTTTGCTTTTTTGGAATCTTGAAGAGTTTAGTGTTTTACTGTTGAAAATATCGGTTTGTACTTTAAGTATATGTTACAATGTATTGTTTTGTTTATTTCTAATTGGGTTTATTTGTTGGTATAGCAATACAGTGCTCAATGGCATAGCTCTGTAAATGTACATTTTAACAAATATTTATAGCCTATAAATCGTTTGGTGAAATGTGTTGTTGGTTTTCACAATCCTTTACATGTTGAAAGGGTTTTTTTGTCCACGTCCTTTGTAGGTCAAGTGGGTCTTAACTTTGCCTACCTGACAATGCTGAAGGAATGGCTGAAAGAGAAGTTATTAAACTTTACCCAGTGAGAAACACTTAAGAATTGGGCACTAAAAGGATTTTTCTCTTGAATACATCTTGTCCTGGAGATGACTGATACAAATAAAACTATGCAGGTTTTGTTGTTGTTGTGGATTTGGATGATGAATTAAAGGCTCTTTGGTTGGCAAAACAAAGACATCAATTCACTTGGTAGAGAAAGTACAAAAAAAAACCATGGCTGATTTGACGTGGGAGGAGTTTTGTGTTAGGTGAAACTTTCCTCCGCCAGAAATTTTGCCTTGTCAGAGCTGTTCTTAATTTAGTAAGTGCTAACTCGTTGGTAAGATCTGCTCTCTTCTTTCAGATAAGTCAATGCAAAACAAATCTTTAAAAAAATCTGTAAGTAAAAATGCATTCATTTCCAACGTAGAACACTATAGCTCTCCTTTTGTGCCGCAGTTCTTCTCAGTTGTGTGAATACTTTGCCCCTTTTTTTTTCTGCACTGTGACTTTTAGGTCTGGGAATACTTTGAAGCAACAATCCTTTTCTTTTCCAGCTCTCTGTTTAGAGAAGTTCCTCATCCCACACTACCTGCTCTTCGCTTCTTTCCCTCCTTACTTGTTATTGGCACAGCCATTTTCCCCCTGCTTTTCTGAAAGTGGTTGCTATGCCAATACCAGAGCATGCTGGGATTGTTAACTCTTAACAACCCAACATCCACAAGTTGCATGAGTCTGGTTTTCTTTCACAGGCATAGCTGGGTTATTTTACTTGTTACTTCAAAGACTACCACCCAAAACGATTCAAGTTCAAATTCTCAACTCCAACTGAGTTATTTAAAAAAAATTGACCTCATCAATAAAGGTATCAAATGCTGGTGGTAGTGTTACATTTTAAGAGTATATGCTTGTGAGGAAAACCTTTAAGTGCCTTGGATACTTAAAGCTTGAATGCTTAGTATCTTAAGACAAATTCTGTCAGTTTTCTTTCCTTTTATGTTTGGATCATTTGAGTCTTGCTAAGAGTACGAAAATCCCTAAAAAGCACAAATAAACTGTACAACATCATAGTCACAATCTGTGACATATGGGCATGCTGAATGGTTAATCCAGAAAAATTCAAATTTAAAGACACCCTTTTGTGTATCCCAAAATACTTTAAATCTTTTCTCCTTTTAACCTGATGTAACATTTTCCTCTAACCTTTGACCTCTTTGCCTCTCTGACCTAAGCCTCTTGCATGCCCAAATCCTCTTTTATAGGGAAAAAGAGAGAAATGTATGAACACCCTGTCTTCTGCTTGGCCTCCCAAGTGATGGATTTAACCATTCGTGAGTACTTATCACCACCTCCTCTCCATGCTGTCTCCACTCTGTTGCCATTATCTCGAAAACCTTCAGATCCAAACCAAATCACTTTCCTTGCTTTAAGTCTATGACCATTCTCCCTGTCTGTTGCTTCTGTCTGTGAAACCCAGTGTGAAAGTCCAGTCACTTTTTATCAGCCTAAAAGAGGTTAAAACAACAAAGCCATTTGTCTGTTTAAACTGGCACCTGTCTGTAAGTTTATGTCTGTGACCTGAATGCATTTTTACTTTTGCTTCTGTGTATCGCCAATTTGTTAATTGCTTGCAATCAGTTTTTTAAGGGTACCTCCTCATCAGGGGACATGTAATAGAGCTAGAGGTTGCGCTTGTAACGACCTTGTGTACCAAATGACACCGTAACGGTTGAGGAACGTACAATTTCCACCAGTTGTCTTAACCCTACTTTTATTTTATGTTATCAAGTCTTGCAGCGGACACAACACTTGTGATCAATCTCTTACTGAAAAACTATCATTCATGTTTAAAAGCTTTGTATAAAGTTCACTGATTTCTTTAATTTTTTCCCCCCTAATCTGGTGTAGCCTCCACTTCCTGTTTGATGATGAAATTTCTATGTTAATGATTTTGGGTGTTTGGTACAGTTAAAAAAAAAAAAAAATTTGGTCAAATGTCATATACCAGAAGTGAATGGGGATAACCAATTGGTCCACTTGCTCATTAATCGTGCATATTATGTTCTTTCTCTTCTTTCCTCCTCGCTTTCTCTTACATATAGAGAATCAAAAGGATGCAGGTGAACAACTGTATATGCCTTAAAAAATAATAGGATTGTAATTTTTTCTGTTTTCTTTTTTTTTCTTTGTTTTCTTTTTATAGCTCCTTAAGTCATGTGATCCTGCAGGCTGTAAAGGAATCACACTGACACTTAAGGGGTTAATTTGTGCTGTCTCAAAAAAATTTAATAAAAACCCACTGCAAATCCTTTGTATCAAGAGCAGAGCCATTTTAGTAAGTGGAAAATGAAAATAAAAAATAATGTAACTATAAAGTAACAAAAAAAATACTCTCCACCTCCCTTCTCATATTTGTGTTAAAGCCTTTTAAACTGTTTGTGTTTTCTGTACATGTGTACTAACAGCACAGTCAGAAAGAAAAAAAAAACACGTGTGTTTTGCGTCCTCTATGTATGTAAGATAATAAAATGTGATCCTATATGGCTCCAACTTTTTAACAGTCCTGCTCTGTGCAGCACAAATCATCCTTTAACTGTGAAAATACACACCAAGAATTCACAGTTGGAGATTTGCATTTTTCTCAAAGCCTTTTTTTTTCCCTGTTTTAATCCGTAAATGCCCATCCTAGAGTAAACTGGAAAATGTCACCTTTTTTTTTTGGCATTTTGCATTTATTTTATTTTGTGATTTTCCCCAGGATTTTTTATTTATTTAAATATGGCTTACTGCATGGCTTGTAGAATACTTATTATAGTGATATTAGAAGCTAATATGCTCGCTTTTAAGGGCTTTTGTAGATTTTTCCTTGTTTCAGTTGAGTTGTCTCTTGAAACAAATGCAAATTATTTAAGAATGCCCAACATATTTCAAGGTCATTTTCTTAGTGCTCAGTTGCTCTGTACTGAGCTACTTTATTTCCTGGGGCCAGGAGGTATTCTGTTAGTTGCATTATTATTACAAAATCATGATTGACTTGCAGTTGTTTCAAATGATTACTCACAGAAATGCAAATAAAATCTAACTTTCAACCTGTGTAGTGCAATAGAAACTTAATTTCCTATATACACAAAAATCTGATGTCACTTTTTTATGGTGATTTTATAAATTGATTTATTGTTTAAACCAGTAGTTCACTTTGTTTAGCCAAAAATAGTTTGCAGTACTAAAGCCCACCCTCACAAGATGGATCTTTATTTTTAGTAATGCAGCATGTAGACAAAATACAATGAAGTATACTTTGAGATACCAGAGAAAGATGTGGCAAATAAATCTTAAAAATGAATTCAAGCACCTGAACTATTATTAAAAATGCAGCTTATTTGTGTATCACTCGGCTGTAGATCCTCAAATCATATCTGAATTGGTGCTGACACTGTCCTTCCTTCTGGAGGGGGGCTACTTTTGTTCCCCATAGTCCCTGTGTGTGTTGTAATGTAGCCATCGCCCCAAGCTCACTTTCATGATAGACTATAATTTCAATACACATTGGTAAACTAAATGTGAGATTGTAGTCCATCATGGGAATGAGCTTGGCTCCTGTACAACACACATAGGGATTTTTTGGTAATAGTTAAGGTACTAAAATGCATTTTTAATGTTTAACTCCTGAGTTTAGTGTCACTTTAAGAAATTACTAAATTTGTCATATAGATTTTTATACATATTATGGGCATCATTGGGTGATTGTAGTAAATTGGTCATCCATCTGAACTCTTCTTTTGTGTCCCTGGGCTGGTAGTTGGAAACCACTGATTTAAGCAATGAGTCCACTTTTGTTTAATGAAAGTAGATGTGAAGGACTATTATTGTTTGCGCTGTAATATTTCATTTTTGCTACTGACATTAGTAAGTGTCCTCGGAGATCACGTTTGACAGGGCGTTAGAACAGAGGCTGTCCTAGCATTCATTGGGTGTTACTGCCTCTTGAATGAAGTTTTTTTTAATAGAACTTCCACACTGCCACCACGTTTGAGGATTAAACAAGTTAATGTTTACGCAATCATAAAACAAACCCCAGGGCTGGGCTGAGACCAAGCAGTGACCCTGTGGGTAACTCTTTTGGGAGAAGGCTTCCAGTTGCCTTTGCTATGTTTGTGAAACATTCTGGCAAAGGTATTACGCTAGTCACATATCATACAGAATTACCGAGCCATGGCTCTGCCCCAGGCGTTACTAAAATGCCACACTGACTCCCTATGTTTAGCCCTATTCTTGTACAAAGCTCCACTCTCCCATAGACCCAGCTGTTGCCTCCACTGTGGACACTGCCAGGTGATGCGAGTGTATAGATTCTACATCCCCGAGGGAAAATTGTAGTAGCTTTATCTCACACCTCGTCTAGACTGCACCACTTCAGACAAGATGTGCATATTGCCTTCTGTTTGGAATGGCTGCATATAGAGAACTTAAATGTCTACCCACCAAAGAAAAAAAAAACATCTTTCCAGATGCTTTCCGTCTCTAGAAAACTAACATTTCAGACGTTGTCAGCGCTTCACTCCATACGAAAATGTATCTGCTAAGTTGATATGTCATGTCAAGCATGTTTGCAGCAAACTAGGTGATTCTAGCATTGCAAGTAGAGGAGATCGGGCATAGGTGTGAGCTGATTAATATAAAGTGTTTCTGAGATGTTGGAAAACACTATAAGCTTGCACAACAAACAAAATTTGATTTTCATCACAGCAACCAACCATAATGTACTTGTTTATTTTAAAGCATTATTTTCTTTCTGCTTTTAAATTAGGCCACTTAACTGAAAATGCAAATTGTTTTAACAATGATAAATAAGCACATTTTTTTTAGCCTGGCAAGTGCCAGTTTATCTGTTAAGGAGTTTATCAGTTTCATTTTCTACTGAAAAAAACAACAAACATGCAATTAAAAAGGACCATTAAAATAGATTGAATGAAAGCTGGGTTACATAGAACAGTTTAGTAACATTTATTGGTGTTTATGTTTTGGGAGCATAAAAGTACTGGTGGTGGATGTAATATTTTTTCTATCAAATTATATTATACAGCTGGAGAAAAAACATTATTTTATATTGTACAAAGCACAAGTAAAATACTAAAATAAATTGCTAGAAAAAAAATATTTAAGTGATCCCGTTTTCAAACTGTTAATACTGCCATACTTAAAAATGAGTGAAAGGAAATGTTGGCTTTCTCTAATGTTACTTGCAGGCTTTTTTTTCTATTATGAATGCCAACTGGCACTGTAAGCCTCCTTTAACCCTTTTGAGACCAGAGGTTATTGATGTCTAGATGCCCAAGCCAGATTTAGCAGCATTGGCATGTGTTAATTAAATTGACAATGCCACTAAGACTTTCTAAACACACATCCATTTTATACATATATTTTAAGGCTTTTATTTGGTACACTGTTTTGATAAAACCCTGATTTTTTTAAATTAATGCACAAAAATGTAAAAAAAAATATCGTTTATTGTAATTCATTTATTTTTATACTGTAATTGTATCTTACAGTTACAGTATTTAACAGGTGAACATTGCCACCTTCTGTCTGCCATGGCATTTTTTAGTGTCATATGTAGGCTGAAGGCTTTTTTTGTCCATATGTTTTCAACCTGCATGTGATCATAGCTGAAAGAGTGATCACATGGCCAAAAACCTCTCTGATTGGTCCCTTTTTATCAGAGGGAACCAGATCTGTCAGTGACAGCTAGAATTGAGAGCCAGCAGCTGCTCAAGGTGTTAGCTGGTAGTTCATGAATGGGAAGACTGGAACCCCTGACGACCGTTGCAGATTTTTCCTACTTCCTGTCTTTGGAAACCATTGTCATTGTGACAGTAAGCGAGGGGAATTTTCTGTAAAGGAGCCTTGGCAAGGCTTTTAATCCTTTCCCACGCTAATCTAAATGTTTTGCCTGGAATTACACTTTTAAATGATTCCATCGCTCTTTTAGAAAAAATTCAGAAAACAGGACCTGCAAAAGTAAGGGGTTCATACTTCATACTACTATCCCGCTGCCTGTTACTCTGGTACTTGCTACTTCTCATTTGACACTTTCAGCTATGTCATATGCCTTCGTCCCCTGCTGCATGCTGTGATTCCTTCTGCTGACCACATGTCACTGTGTCCTGTAGTGATGTAGGGGCCAGCGGAAGGAACCACAACATGCTGCAGGGATAAACTCCTGGAAGTATGTTAGATGTAAGGAGGACGTACCTCTGCAAGAGAGCTAAGATCAGCGGAATGGGCGACTGTGAAGTGTCTTTTTATTGCAGGTGGTGCGTTTTTATATTTTTCAATGTAACAGAGTCAGTTTAATTTTGTTGATATTATTGATAGCAATCATTGTCCTTGTGCTGTTTTTTTATGTAGTCTCCAGAAATTACAAGAGACCAGAAAAAAATATAAGGATTAATGTATTGTAGTCAATAATGAAAAAGGTTAACATGCACACAAGAGCTTACAGTCATAGGAATGTGTGCCTATACTGTGCCTGTAGGTACAAACAGACATCCCCATTAATTATATTTGTGCTAGTCACCAAGATAACATACACCCCTCAGACTGATAGATCAGGGTGCTTGTTTTGTGTTCGCATTCTACGAAGAATACTATTTTCATCTCTAAATCTTTTTGCTTTGCTGATATTACAAACTGTATGACAGATGGGTCACACTGATCGCTGCGTTCTAACATTTGGGAGAGCAGAGAACATATTTGGTGAAGCTGGCATGCTTCGATGCTGTTTGATTCAAGCCACAATATGAGAACCACTAGCATTTCACATTGAAAATAATTAAAGAAGCAGGAAACAATTAGAAAGCACACATTTTGAATAGTGACAGATGTTATACATGTTTAAATTAGACAAAGGGATATAAGACAATTTCATGGGTCACGTTAACAACTGCTGTAGTTTTAGCGTATAATTTGTGCAGCAATATGGAAAGTCTTGAAAAATAAGATGAAGCTGTGTGGAAAAAAAAATATTTACTCGACGTGTTTATAAAATTTGGTAGATGCGACAACACACGTTACCCAAATCAATAATTTTATTGTCTTCAGTGATTTATACATGTCATTA